TACAGAGACTGAGTTGGAGGTTTTAATGCTGATTTCAAGAAATGAAGGCCGATTATAAAGAAAAAGCGATACACATCTGCATCAAAGAAAATGAATATAAGGTCATAAATAGATAAGAAAAGAAAATAAATAATACGAGAAAATTTGTTAGTTTATTAAATTACGCATGCCACCCTTCCTTTTATTGTAATGAAAAAATTAAATGTAACTTGAGCATCCTTTTCGAGTATGTTGTCTAATTCTAACTTAATTTTCCTTCCATTAATTTCTTATGGCCACAATAATGATGTGTATTGACTAGTATATAAGGCTTATAGAAATTGTAATCCTTTTGGAGCTAAAAAAAAACTGTCCAAAGTCAAAATTAAACACTGACACATTCTCTTAAAAGGTAAGATTTAATTACTGGAGCTGTATTAAACACTCTAGAATATTCGTTCTGTCATGCAGCTAATAGAAAGGAGGCTGAGGCCTGTCTAACTGCTGTGGGCCACCAAATGACTCTGAGGAGCTGCTCTGTCCAGGGGTGTAGCGGACATTTTAAAAGTGGGGGGACAGCTGTATAAGATCCAAATGTTTACTTTCATATAATTATTAATCACCTGTTTCTCAATAATCTGTCTCTAAAAGTGAGGGGGTGGATGCTGTCATCATAGCAAAGATAAAAGAAATCAGTTATTAGAAATGAGTTATTAAATCTGTGCTTTAAGCATCTTCACTGTATTTTTGATTTTATTATTGATAAATAATAAAAACAGTCGGCAGCAGCAGGAATATCGCACGTTGTCACTTTAAGAACAGTGCGGCTCTGATATGGTTTCTCTTTCTCGTGTCTTTTGTGTGTGCTCTGCTGTCCGAGGCTAAGCGCGGTGCGCGCGCAAACGCGCACACGCTACCTGTCCGAGGCTAAGCACGGCGCGCGCAGACACAACAGCACGTGCTCTTTTGCGCTTTTAAAAATATGAATGATGCGCATCCCGTGCTGCAAAAGTTACATTACAGCACATGCTTTTAGTCATTTTCAAGTGGAACTGAGCTTTGCAGAGGCAAAGAGTTTTCACACGTGTACAACTGGAAAGGGGGCGGTACGTGATGGAATAATCGTTTATCTCGATTAATGGTTTTTCATAATCGTTAAAAGCCAAAATCAAAATCTGATATTCGATTAATTGCACAGCCCTCCTCTTAAGGGGAATGTGAGATGAGAGTCTGATTGGTTTAATGCACCTTATGCTCAAAACACAGCCATAACTCATTAAGAGAATGAGCACAACCCTGTTAGACCTGTGTTTTTCCATCCTTAATAGTAAAAGTGGATTCGGACATTCCCCTAATGCTTTTCTGCCATGGGCCTTAGACTTTGCGCCTAGATCGTTAAGATTGTGTCCTTTTTCTTTTATTTTTGCTGGAATAAAATGGAATTGGCTATGGAAAAAAATAATAATAGTTTTTAAGTTCAATAATATTATTCCCCAAGTATTTATTTATTTTTGTCCAGTTGGCTACAGCACAAGCTACTGTTCTTAAAAGTCTTGCCTAATTCACCTAATTTACCTACTTATCCTCAAGAAGTGCTTTAAAATATGATTTTTTTTTTATATTTAATGTTTGACCTAATCTCAACCAAAACGCAAAGATAGGGCGGGAAATATTGTTGCTCAATAGCAAAAAAAAAGCCAATAGCATTTAGATTTTATCACAGCTCTGCCAGTGACTGGTTGAGATCAAGCAAATCAATTGAAAAGGAAACGAGAAGCGTCTTGAAGGGGGTCGGGGCTTGTCAGAGAGCATTTGACTGGTCAAGATTTGACGTGAAACAAGTCACTGATTGATTTAGGCGAGCTTTGCATGTTTATATCAGTTTTCTATCTTCTAAACGTAAATTTTGTCACTGTTTTGGAGTGAACTAGCTTATAGATATCCTCAAGACATACTGATACTAACATTTAAAAAAGTGTTACTTTAATTTCACTGGACCGTTAACCTAGTTATGCCTTTTAAATAGCGCTTTAAGCTGAATACCGCTGCTGTCTTGGCAAAGATGACAGAAATTGGTTATTAGAAATTTATTTCTAAAAAAAAATCATGTTTAAAATGTGTTGGAAAAGATCGTTAAAATATTAAAGTGAGTTTATTACATATTTAACATATTTCAGAAGTTTATTTGACCTCAAAATGAAATTACACTTTTCTTCTTGTATTTTATATGTATGCGTGTAAATATTTATGTATACATGAGGCCACCTTTCTGTTCTGGTGTCCGTAGGAGAATCTATAAATGGAGCAGCAGGCTTTTCTCAGCCAGACTCAACCACAGAAGGAGAGAGAGATGTCAAGGAGGAAGATGAGGATGACGGTGAGCCGAGCGCCGCTGAGTTGAGACGCCGCCGTCTCCGTAAGCTGGAGACCACAAACACTCCTGATCACGGCAACCTTTAAAACTAGCATCCGTCAATTGACTTCTGACTCTAGAAACACTTGTTACGGACTCTTGGCCACTTGTTCAGACGTCAGTCTATCTGAGAAACGTTCATCTGTTCTTAACTGTCATTTAAATGAGGCACGAGGCGCTGTATGGAGGATCTGTCATCACGCACTGGAGATACTCAGCTGGAGAACTGGTTTCTGGGTAATGAAGCGTGACCATCTAAAGTTAAAAATCTTTGAATCCGAGTGTTGTTGGGACTTTCCTCTCTGAATGTGATTTCTGGCTCTCGGAGGAAGATAAAGGTCTGTGGATTTCTCATGTGCCCTTAAAAGTGGATGTTTCCCCTCTTCTTTGTGTATTTTCATGATTTCTAGCTCTACATTATAGATTTTTTCTTTTCTTAGATCGACTTTGGTTGTGTTTGAGGACGGCCATGATCTAAACTGCGGAGTAAATTAACTTACTGTACATAATGTATAAAGTGTTTTAATAGGAGGATCTGTACATACTCCACAATAAAATGTTGGAAACAGACGGGTGGATGGATGGATGGATGGATGGATGTTTAGTGTGGATATCAAATACTGCTATTCCTCTTTTTGGCTATTTTTCATTTTGTAAGGATCTTTTGTTTGTAAGCACTTGACCTCAGGTGATCATACAGTTTTGTTAAAATTCAGTTAATCATAATAATACTGAACCAAAATATATCATATTTTTCACAAACATATTAAGCAGCTCCATCTATTAAAATGGCTTTTGAAAGATCGTGATGCTGAAAATAAATCATAAGAATAAACATTTCATTTAAATTGCAACAATATTTTGACAATATTAGCATTTATGATGTATTTTTTTATCAAATGTAGCTTTAGTGAGTATAAGAGACTTTAAATTTTTTTAAATATCACTACTACTACCGACTGGGACTATTTTGCTTAAATCATTTACAGTTGAAGTCAGAATTATTCGCGTCGTACCTGTGGGGGGTGAGTTGCACGTGACGCACCTGAAGAGCTGGGAGGTATGCTGTGGAGAGGGGTGTGCGACGTATTTAAGGACTGGATGGTAAACGCACAATTTCCGGGCGATTATTATTCATTTACGGGCATCTGGGAGTCTCTATTCATTTGCAGGAGACTCACAGAACTTCCGGGAGACTTGGGATGTCTGCAATTCACAAGACAACTTTTCACCTCGACTAGAAATCTCGTCGCGATTTAATCTTGCGAGATCTTGTCATAAGAGATCTTGTCCCATCCCTAATAATCATGCTTGATTAAAATAGTCCGCAAAAACACTTATTCTTTAAATTCTGCTGGTTGACACATTTGCCAAATGTTCCTTGCCAATCTTCAGTCAATTGTAATCGTTTGTGTTGGTTCAATTTGGAATTTTCCCGAACCGTTGCAGAGACCAGAGGATCAGAGTGAGCACTTCTTCTTGGCCCCACCCTGATCCTGCTGAAACACTTTGATTGACATTCTACCTTTGCATGTGTCATTGGTGGAGGAAAGACCCGCCCACTAGTAATGATCACAGCCTCATTAGCATAATACATTAGTCTTATTTTTGAATCAACACAATGCTGACACATATATGTAGGCATATGTAGCTCTACCCTCTTTTAAAAAAGCTCATTTGAATTTAAAGCGACAGTCCGCGATTTTAATTTTAAAGCGACAGTAGACACAATTAGGATCAAAGCCTAAAAGGGAATTTACAAAAAGTTTTAAAACATTATTAGTGTGAATTTATTAGACTTGTTTTCCATCCTCCATAAAGTGGCATAGTAGGCCCCCTTTAATGATAATATTAAAAATGAATGATAATATTGCAAGGATGTTAATCAAACAAGTTTTCTAATTTTGTGACAACACAACTGACTGTTATGTATGACAATATTGACTATTACTATTGTGGGAATATAAATTTATATAATCTATATATAACTGAAAAGTAGTTTTTAGAGTGTGACAGATTTTAAAATGTCTTGGTTTCCTGAACTTTCCTGACTTTCTCCAAAGTAATGCAAATTGTCAGTTCCACAGCACGGCTGTGTCTATGGTCTTCTTAAGTCGGTCAACTTGTCAGAAGGTTTCTGTCTCCAGAACATCCTTTGCACACTGTTTTAATGCTCACAACTCTGCCTTTTTCTTCGGTGATGCTTTCATGCTAAAGAAACCCTTTTGTTGATTAACTTGTGTGGTCCGTAGCTGGGCCGATTTCTAACACCTATATGCCAGTTTGCCGTGCTGACTCCAATACTCAATTTGCATGCTTTGTTTAGCCATCTCCCCTCCTCCTAAGAACACATCATAGACAGAACAGCTTTGTCTCAAATCAGACTTGTGATAAAACTCACAGATTGCAGACCTCCAGTTGGCTCTGCAGACACATGGACTTCTTGAAGACGCTTTATGAATGCAGATTAACCAACACGTCAAAATAAAGGAATTCTGCTTGTTTCGAGTCTCCTGGACTGGGTTCTCTTCTCTTCTTCATCATTTATTTTATTACAACACTATTTATTGAAGTTCTAAAACTAAATGACAAGACGTGTAGGCACCGCAAAGATTAAATTACTTTATTTTAAAAAACACATTGCGAAATATCAGAGCACAAGCTTTGTCCCAAAATTACTGCTCCTATATATGAACCATTAAAAATGACATCCTTTAGTAAAACATAGAGAATAGCTTTCATCAATGATTAAAAAGATACATTTGGTAACAATCATAACTGGTCCCTTATATCATCATCATCAACATCATCATCAGCTTCTAGTCTAGCTGTGGTCATCTTTTTAAATCAAGGTGCAAGTTCAGAAGTACAGACGCTTCTGATGCATAATAACATTAGTGCAAAACAACGCTACTGAGCTGCTCAAGCCGGAAGAGGTAATGCTGTACTGTTGCCTGAGAAGATGAGAGGAGGATCTCTGCCGCAGCGCATCGTGGTCAGGTCAGGTCTGTGGAGTGGAGTATAGAGAGTGATGTCGACTGCTCTGATCTGTCCTGTTGAAGAGGAGCGGAGTCGTCTCACTCGAGCCAAACCAGCTGCAAACAAAACCAGAGACAATGTCACAACTGAGACTACAGTCAAACCTTATCTAGACACTGGAGGCCTGTTCCAGAAAGCAGGTTATGTAATATTATCAGGTGAGTTAAAATCCTAACGTTTATTTTGCTAGAGCATATTGGTATTCTTTAGATGAACAATAAATCTGAATTTAATCCACAAAAAATGTAATTTAATCCACTGAAATATTTTGGTCATCTTCAATCAGAGTCTGATTGCTTTTGAATTTGGAGCGTACCTGTCAACCCTTTCTTTTTCCAGGGATTCTCCTGTATTTTACAGTTCTATTCCGTTATCATCCCGTACAGGTATTTTCCAAAATTTCCCCCGTTATTTTAGTGTTTCTCTGAAGGGTGGCAAATAAACATAGAGAATCGAGACTCCCTATACACAACCCCTACCACCGAACCACCAGGGGTCGCCCCTTGCTCTTAATTGTGAATCTGTTCTGTGCGTCCGCTTTGTTTAGGCATGAAACACTTTGAAATAAACATAACGGCGGGATTTGCTTCCTTTCCATTACAGGTGCCGTCTCCCCTTCATAGGCCATCCTCAAAACAGTCATATAGCGCTGTTGACGCGCTTAATAGTGATGAATAGACGCTGTTTCCTAAATGGATTCTGTACTCGTGATTTGAAGCGGAGCACAAGTCTGGGTTTTGGATGCGTTTAAACAGATACACACATAACTAATAATAATAATATCTAAAGAGACAAGTCGGAAACTTTCATTATAACGTTAGATGTGTGCATTTTTAAAGTGACACCTCTGTTGTTTGATGTAATGAAACATAAAAAATCTAAATCAATCATTCATTCGTTGCTCTTTAATCAGAATATGTAAATTATACAGTGAAGAAACGGATTGAGATTTGACAGCTTGATTCTATTTCCTCATAATAGCTATTCATTTTAATAAGCTGAACTGTCTAATTTATTTGCTGCTAATGTATGATATTTTTTCGTTTGTAAATAATAATAAAACCTATTACTGACCATTTAACTGTTTATTTACAACGAAACAGCTCCAAATGAGCATATTTTCCCTTATTATGGTGGGCATATTACTTATTTTCACATCCCAATGTTGACAGGTATGATCTGCAGTGGCCGTCCTTTTCTGTTGACGTCAGTTTGACAGTTTCAGCCACAATATTCTTTGCCATCTCCCTCTTACCTTTAATTGACTATGAGGGAATGGTGCGCAAAACAAAGCCCCGTCTCCTACTCATTATTTCATTTCAGTTTTCAGAGAGAGCACATCAACATATTCCGGTCTTCGAGGATAGGTAAGTAGATAACCTCAGCCTTCAGTTCCAGAAACCAAAGTAACTTTGCAACTTATCTTATAAATATAACCTGCTCTGGACGTAGACATTAGTAGGCGATAGCTGTACTTCTCTTATACTGAGGCAAAATTTCTATGGTATGAGTGAGATCGAATCACTGGTTAGAAATGAAAATGTTTTTTAAAAAGTGTGAACTGTGATATGTGTGTGAATAAGTTACAGTTTGACTGTATTAATGCTACCATATCTGAGCAGTAATACTCAGCGAACACATATACCTGCTGTGAGGATTGATGCTGCGAGTCCAGAGAGATCCCATATCATCATTGTCATCCATTCCACGAGGATCGTCAAAGAAATATGAGCGTGAGCCTCTTGAGCTTAATATGGCAGGACTGCGGCTCTGGTGAAAAAATAAATAAAGCAAACAGGTTAGTGACTCAACACTGCCATTGTCACTGGATACAGATACAGAGCACAAACTGTGTCACTGACTTTTGTCTTTAGTCTTTACACTTTAGTCAGAGCAGTATAAAGGGGATTATGGTGGTGATGTACCTGTTTATAGTGAACAGATTTGGTGTACACCACATACTGTATTTGAATGGTTTTTACACTACAAAAAACATTTTCTTACTTTGATTTTTTTGTCTAGTTTCTAGTCCAAATATTTACAAATACGGTGTCTATGATATAAAGTGATTTAAACTCCACAGCAAATTCTTTCAATTTAAAAATATTCCTCTGAACAGAAAGATGAATGAAACGTTATTAAAAAACATTTCTCAAATCAAACTTTCTGATTTAATTTATTTTATTATTGAAAGCAGATATGAAACTAGACTGTTTGTAATTTTTGATAGAATTTTAAAGACTTTAATTTTTAATAATACAAAACAATTTACATTCTGTGAGATGTTATAATTATTTCTGAAATGTACTGAATATATTTAAAAATGGAATTTAATCTTGTAACAGCAAAGCTGAATTTTTTGCTTAATCGATCCAGTCTTCAGCTTCACAATATGCAACATTTACTATTATTTTTAATGCTGAATAATTCTTTCTGCTTCTAGAAACTGTGATACGCTTTAATCTGGATGTCTTCATTAAATAAAAAGTTTGAAAGGACATTTTATTCTAATATATTTGTTTCAATATCAATACAGTTTTGGTGTGGCTAATCTTTTTTAGTTCACATGCTATATCATCAGGGCTGGATTAACCGACGGGCATTATGGGCATAGGCCCGTGCGCACTTGTGGCCCCTGCGCGGGGGGGAAATGCTGATTTTGGAGAGTCTATTTAGGCTAAATGCAAATAGTGCAAATAGTGGAATAAGCTAATTGAGTGATTCCCGCCCATCACCGTTTCATTGACAGAGACAACATAACTAAAGAGCGCATTATACAGCAGCGTGAGTAGCGTAGCTCGTAAAGGCAACTTGTTTCTGCGCGATCATGAACCCAGTTCAAATCTAGCGTCTGATGAACTCATTTTTCTTTTCCCCCATTACATATCAGATTTTGCCTACTCTTCATCACGAAGAACACAAGTAGGAATCATTAATAAGTGTCTGTATAATAGAAGACTCAGATTCATAGAACTGAATTGGAAAGGTGTTAAATCCAAATCATATGCAGTTAAAGTTTGTAGAAGTTATGCATTAAAAATACCATTAAATATATATATTTTTAGTACTGCATCAGTGAACTTGAACAAGTATATTAAAATCCATTCATTTTCACTAGTTGTATTAGTATATTTTTTTCAAAGTGTGCTTTAAATGCTTTAAAAATTAGTTAAATCTCAGTAGACTATACGTTTATCATTATACTGAATATCATTTACTTTTAAAATGCGGGTAATACATTATAGATTAATTTTATAAAAAAAATATTATTTTATTCTTATTCTTTAATTTAACAATAGGGGTGCGACCAGGTAGGGGGCCCACAAGTAGAGGTCTGCATTCCTGCAGCTGTACCACGGGAGCCGGTTTTTTTCTCCCCACCGCCTGTTAGCAGGAACGGGTGCAGCAGGTAGAAAACGGGGCGGGTCGGGCAGCGGGATAACAAGTGCTGAATATAAGCGGGAGCAGTCGGGTTCGGACTAAAACCTGGCGGGAGCCGGATACAAAATTTAGTCCCGCGCAGATCTCTACCTACAAGACACTGTGCCCAGGGGCCTCTGAATTCTTAATCCGGGCCTGTATATCGTTATCATTATAGTTGTAGTCCTTGATGTGAATATCTATGTTTTTATCCAAACATGCTAATTAAATTTATGCACATTTCTAGAATACGACATAAACAATTTGCAAATAAAACAGTAGTTTCAACCAAGTAGTCAAAGAGAAATCGTCACTTCCTGATTAACTGGCACCAAATATAAACAGTAAAAAACGGAACTTGCTGCAGTCGGAGGAACTGCGTGGGCATTTTCTCCATTTAATAATTGACTTGCGCCTCAGAAGACAATGTCGACACACAATGAACACGCATTTGAAGGTGTCAGACGCAGAGCACAGATGCTCTTGACAATTCTGGAGGTCATTAATAATTTAATAACACTAATACTGAAATGGTTAAGGTGATTTTGAATGACCAAAACAACATTTGAGATGTTTTACAGTGTGCTCAGCCTGCTGGTTTGTCCATTCACACACGTTTTTATCATATTTATCTTTATCTTTTATAACAAAATTACATAAATTTTTTTAATGCGCACACTGGAATTTGTTCGGTAAAAGTGTTTCCATCGTAGCTTATGTGCATCTTTTTTTATTGAATAAAACGTTGATCCTACTCAGTTATGTGCATTTTCAAAATTCGCATCTTGGCATTTCCATCAACCATTTTTTATGCGCATTTCCAAAATTCGCATAAAAATAGGTGAATGGAAACAGCTAATGACTCTTAAATTAAAAAATATAATAAAGATTATTCTGTCTCTGCAGTTTTCAACAATAGCATATTAGTCAAACAAAAATGGCACCTTCTCCTGCGGAGGCTGGCGAACTCTGAAGATGAGGATAAGTAGACTGGTAGGCAGCAGCTCCCATATGAAAAGAACAACTCCGAAGATGATGTATCCTCTGTCTCCTAGCTCACTCTGAAGATCAGCCTTTAAGGAGGACATTAAACTTCTCAGACTGACAGTCACAGGAAAAAACATTTTTCAATTAGCCTCCGACAAAAAGGCCCACCTGATCAGAGATGTTGTACCAGTCGTAGTCAAAGGCCTCGATTTTATGATCGTTCGACAAAAACAGCACCGCAAGATTGTAACAAGCCCTGCTAGAGAAGAGCAAGATCACACCGGCTCCCAAAACCGCAGTCCGACAGAAATCCTGCAAGCCAAAAACAAAACAAACAGACTATGGATGTCAATGGTTACCAGTAAGAATGCACCGATATGGATTTTTGGGGCGATAACAATAACCGATAAGTCTTAAATTTGGAGGTTGATAACCGATATATTAGCCGATAAATATAAATATTTAAAAATTGTATATTTTTACACAGTGAACAAATGATTTTATTTTAAAAACTTCATAAAAAGTGAGAACTGGTCTTAGAACAAGCTACTCAAAGCAAACAAAGCAATAATTGCCAAGGATTTCCTTCTCTTCACTTAGCAAATAAACTGACTGATGCATAAAAATAATGGGTTAAATAACAAAACGAGATTTTATTAATAAACAAGTTAAATGAATATACTTTAAATAAAATTAAAATGAAAGAACTGAAACCAGCTCGACTGTTCTCAAACAAAATGTTACAGTAATGTACAATTGTTAGTCATTTGACACTTGTCTTACCACACTCAAGCAAAATTCTCTCATGCTTACACAAAGCTATTTATCTTTTATTTACATCAGTTAATAATAGTGGATTTAAGTTGTGCCAGCATGCGTTGACTGCTTCATCAAAGACACAGAATATAAACATTTCATCTTATTTGTGTTTAATTTAATGGAATAATGAAAATATTTTCAGAAGCATGGCATTAAGAATTTAGTAGGGATGCTCTGATCAGGATTTTTGAAGCTGATACGAAGTAACTATTGCGATATTACATGCTAATGCATAAAGCACATTTTCCCTCGAAGTATGTGGAAAAACTCACCTTACCTAAAGGAATAAAGAATGTTGCATATAATCCCTTAAACATGTCTCTTATAACCATTTAGTGTGGACATGTCATGGTCAAAAGCAGTTTTACAGATTCAAAAAAAAATTTAAAAATGGTAAGAAAAATGATATACAATGCAAATGATGAAATAATCATTTAAAATGTCTCACATGTCTGTTTTCGGTAAGTTAAAATGCACACCTATAAATATGTAACTTCTTTACTAAAAGGAAATAGGCCTATACACTTCTGTTTATTGCAATAAGTATATTACAGAAAGTTATATCTATTCATTTAACCTAACAACTGTAATGCTTCATCGATGTGCCTCTAGAGAAATGTTCTCTCTCATCACCATGATTTGCGGGTCTCATGGATCAGCTATGAACATGCAAGAGACTCGTGGAGTTTCCAGCAGAGGTCATACAGTTGCATGAAACACCGGTTACGGCAGCTCAAAACACTGGCTATACAATGCTTCAGACCATCACTCGCGCAAGACGTGCCAATAAACTGTATGAACAGAGGTCACACCACATCTGTATTTAGCTGCTGTGTTGGAAGAACAGCAATCGCTCACACCCCATGCATCATTTCTCTTTTCACTAGATGTAGCGCTGCTGGGTGCGCACATGCATCTCCTCTGCGCAAAAAACATTAAAAAAATCATAAACAATCAGTCGGTTCAGCGATCGGTTAATGAGATCTGCCAGATTGGCGAGTGCCGATCAAGTCATAAAATGTGATTACCGATTTCCAGCCGATTGATCGGAGCATCCCTAGACTTTAGCAATGAAATATTTCTTCTGTGGGTAAATAAATGCCAATTCCATTTGCTATTATCCACCCCAATTTTAAAAACACATATAAGCATGTGCGTTTTGCGGAGTCCCGTAGATAAGAAAGAAAGAACGGACTTTGAAGGAAATAAACAATTTGAGGACAGTTCCATTATAGTGCAGCTGAACTGGAAACTTTATGCCTATACACCAGCCAATCTGAACAAGTTCCCACGTGTGTGCAAGGCAGGGAGTTCTGTACAATTACCTAATATATCGGCTTAAAGATATGAGCTGAATTTTGATGTCGGACCGATAAAGATAACATTAAAAATAGCAATTATTGGTTGATATCGATATGGCCGCCGATATATCGTGCATCCCTATTTACCAGTTTCTAACACTCTTCAAAATATCTTCTTTTGTGTTCAACAGGAGAAAGAAAAACAAACAGGTTTGAAATAGGGTTGGGTCAATAGACAATGCCATCATCCATCGCCAATGACCACTAGACATCACAATGCTGAGCCGACAATGAGATCCTCCACCTCCAACCCGCTTGCGAAAAATACACACTTAGGCCCCGTTTACACTACGTCTTAGTTTTAAAATGGCATTTTAGATCGAAAACAATTCACGTCCACACTGGCGTTTCACCTAGCATTTCTGAAAAGCTCTCTCTCCACAATATACCACTGAAAAGGCCCACAAACAAACACACACTCATGCGCTGCAGCGTCTGCGCACATCTGAGCTCCAGCAGTCAGTGCGCTATGAGAACAAAACCCCAGAGAGCAGTGCATATCGGACAGTTTATCAAGGATGTACTGCTGGATCGCATCTCACTATAGTTGTTAAACATGATATTTAATTAATCTTGTCTATCTCACGACTCTTTGTTCTGTTGAATATATTGGGTAACGTGTCACAGCGTCAGCACACTGCTTTAATCTTTCACTTTCACGCTTGTACTTAGTATTTTAGCGAGTTTGTGGACGCCATTATAACCACACAGATCACTCTGCCTATTCATGCCAGAGTCCTGCGGAAAAAGTGATTGACAGGTGTTAACTTATCTTTATTTATTTATGATTTGGTTATGGGTAAATCAAAAACCATGCGAGTCAGGGAGTTGAAACTGTAGGCTACAAATAATTAATTATGAATTAATTAATTATTCATAAATAATTAATTCACCGCCGCCTATGACGACAATGCCATCGTCCATCGTGATGTTTCAAATTGGACATCATACAATGCCAAATAGGCTGACATCACCCAACCCTAATTTGAAACCAATGGAGGGAGAGTAGATAATGACAGAATTGTCATTTTTGGGTGAGCAATGCTTTTAATACATTTAAACTTCAACATTTTTTTTACTAAAATACATGCAAGACTGAGCCTGGAGTCCTCCATGATTTCTGTTCTTCCTTATAACAACACACCCGAATGCATCACACTTGTGATTACACATTTATATCATTTGTTGATATTAAATGAAAGCAGAATTAGCCGTTGAGTATGCACCTTACTGTGTAGATAAGGGGTAGTCGGTAGTGAGGATCGAGTTAACAGGAGCAGAGATGTGGCCAGACACACAGCTTCCAGAATAAACAGCAGATCATTCACCAGCACCCGAACCAGAACCAGACTCCATGTGTTTTCATCAGCTTTTCCAGAACCGTCATGTTGTCCGAGGCTCGCGCAAACTATGTTGACACACAGGAAAATGACGCTCATGGCTGCATACACACACCGAGCCGTCCGTCTACAAGTCAAAGTTTACACGCAAACACACACAAGTCTCATTAAACAGATGATATCAATTAATATGCATGTACAGCAGTGATTGTCAGCACAGCAAACTACTAAATAATTGATTCTCATTGTGATGAAGTAATATTGATATTTAAATCCCCCAAAATTTATCTTTCACTGTTTTCAGTTGAGGAATTTTTTAAAAATCTATAATGTGTACTAACCTGTTTACTCAAAATAAGCTTTGTAATTCAGTCAGTTTTAATATAGAGGTTTCAAACTATGTTCATTTTCAAACAATAAATATCACGTGGCGCTCTGTGACAGATTGCATTAGGATAAAATAAACATCACCGAACAACAGAAGGTATGTTGAAACAATGCACTTCCGTATCATGATGTGTCATGTAATCACTCAACCAGTGTTTCAACAACAGACAGACATCAATACAGCAGCTTGTCACGTCCTTTAATATTTACCTCAGAAAAGTAATTAAATGTCCAAAACTGTTGACTCTACTTAACCTGTTCTTGACTGATAAAGGCATTTTTGATTAATTACAGCATGCTTTTGTTTATTAACAGGATTTAAATATTTTTTTTTATAAACAAGTGTAAACCAAACTCAGTACATTGTTATTATAACTTTATTAATACAAAAACTTCCTTACGTGTAATATGTAATGTACCAACTGGAGTTCCTTGTACAATTTATATAACAAGTTAATCTAATTAAATAAAATTTTTATTTGCAGACCGAAACCAAATCCTTTCTAAAATGATTTGAAATAAGCAAACAAAGTAAAAACAATAAAAAAATTCATAAATAAAATATTTATTTTAATTCTCTCCCTCAGCAAAAGTTTTTTTTCTGAAAATCTAATGTTTCTACTTTTTTAAATATCTACATTTTATTGCATTATTTTTGACATTTTATAAAAAATATCTGATATATTGCTAGTTATGTAAAGTTCTAAAGTATATATATATATTTTTTTTTACTTTTAATAATACAGTTGCAATCAGAATTATTAGCATCCCTAAATTATTAGCCCCCCTTTTTATTTTTTCCCCCAATTTCTGTTTAACAGAGAGAAGATTTTTTCAACACATTTATAAACATCATAGTTTCAATAACTAATTTCTAATAACTGATTAATTTTATCTTTGCCATGATGACAGTAAATAATATTTTACAATTTTCAAGACAATTCTACAGCTTTAGATGACATTCGAAGGCTTCACTAGGTAAATTAGGTTAACTAAGCAGGATAGGGTTATTAGGAAAGTTATTGTAGAACAAGAAAATATATAGCTTAAAGGGGCTAATAATTTTGACCTTAAAATGGTTTTTAAAAAATTAATAACTGCTTTTATTCCAGCCGAAATAAAACAAATAAGACTTTCTCCAGTAAAAAAATATTTTCAGACATACTGTGAAAATGTCCTGAATCTGTTAAACATCATTTGGGAAATATTCAAAAAGAAAAAAATAAGGGGGTTTAATAGTTTTGCAACTGTAGTTTCAGTAAAATGTGAGTAAGTAGAATGTTATTCTATTCAGTAAATCACAAACAACAAGAAAGGTCTCAGGGCCTTGCCCTTGAATACTGTTATTCACAATGGAGTAAAAAAGGTTGAGAATTAGTGATGTATGTGAAAGTACTCACAGTCCTTTGCTGGGATCTATGTTGAATACACTTCTAACTTTGAACAGCTCCTGTCAAAATGAAATATTGTTATTAGGGAGTGGATTGGTTCTTCAACTGTGCAAACACATGACATCTTTGTTTATGAACCTTCACTTGTCTTACCTGAGTGAAGTAAAGGTTGAAGAGACTCAGGGTGAAAAACTGCAAACAAACTGGGAAGCAATAAAGGAGCCAGTAGAGCGGAGTGGGCAGATGGTTGGCAGCAAGGGCATCGTGGAAATAAAACGAAAAGAGTGTTGTGCGAAGCGCAGCCCAGAACAGGCAAAGAAAAAGAAATATACTCTGGTAGCTCCAGCGTTTATGTCGAAAGAGTAAAAGCAGCCAAAGCTGAATGTATACGATTAGAAATAAGCCCCCATAAAGACAGGTGTAGAGAACCGTGACCCCCAACTGCACTGATGGGGCCACGGCTGGTCTCATGGGGGACGGTGGAACAGAAGTGTGCATTGTGATGAGGAATGTTAAAAATATATAATACACAAAGCCTTAAAATAAAAGTAAACTAAACCGGTGTAAAATGTCAAGATATTTCATATTAGTAAAATGATTAAACAAAACTCAGCCATGTTTGACTGTAATATTATGAATTATCATTTGTCTGATTTGTTTATTATCACATAATATTAATAAATCCAGGTTTTAAAAAAACGACGACGAAAGTCTGAAATGCCTTTATCAGAATTCCTCTTGATAATCTGTGATCAGCACCTTCAAAACAAAAACGAAAGCGTTTGTTAAAAACGCAGTAAAGTTTTACATTCAACAATTCACACTGATTCACGCAGACTGCAAAACAGAAAATAAAAACATCTCGTCCGAAAACAAAGTCTCCTAATTAACTGTAACGTTAAATGATCAGGGGTTTTGACAGACGCGATGACAGCTCAACCGTTTCCTCACCAAGTTAAAAAGGTTCATCTTCCGAGTAGAATTTGTGTAACGTCACAAATTATAACACTTTTCACTTTTACCTAATTTATAACAGTTTAAAATCTGAACAATAATAACTTCAGAATGACCTAAAGTGGCTAGCTGAGCGGCTAACGTAGCTAGATTGAGTTTAAAATCGATTTGCTAGTTCACAAGTCGAGCCGGTTTTTGATGTAAATAAGCGACACACACGTTTAAAATCCCCTTAATGTAATAAAATTAATAGATTCAACTATACCTTATGAACGACTAATACAGTGTTACAGACGCAACAAATACTGTAAATCCTTTCCTTCATCACTTGGGTCACATTCCTGTTTATGCACTGCGTTATCAAACCGACTCATCGCTGATGGCGACATCAAGCGGCGCTCGCTGGTAATGAGAAACGTAAACAAAAGTTTTTTTCTCTTGTAAAGACCACGCCCCGTTTGTAGCGTCACTAGTGGTGGGCGTGGTCTGCAGGCAACAGTATGGGTCTCTCATAAAATCTTACAAAACTTACTACTTAACTTATTAGAGCAGGCGTGCCCAAACTTTTCTTATAAAGAGCCAAAATCTAAGCTTGATAGAGAGCTCTGAGCTGAAAGTAAATATAACAAACTGTGGAAAGTTGCCATGGGTAATTTCCTCATTTATTTCAAAATATCTATAAATGAATAGCAAAAATTACTTCAACCGTATTTACTAATGCATTATCATTTTTGTTAACAAACTTATTACAATAAAACCACTTTATAAAATTCAATTTGTAAAACAATGGAGTTCAATGCTGAATACGCCAGTCATGCTGAACCTGCCTTTGCCTTGATTTGCACACTGATGTCTTCTGCTTTTCCCCCTATTCATTAAGTGAAAGTGTGTACCTTTTTAAAAAAAAATCTGATTCATTTACAACATTTAATTGAATCATTTAATTGTATTTTTTGTTGCTCAACAATAAACCAACTAACAAAAGCTTATATTAATAAATGAGAATCTCTGTTAAAGGCATTCCCTGACCCTTCCCAATCATTTATTCCTCTGACAGGCCAAATCAAAGGATACAAAGGGCCAGCTCTGGCCTGCATCTCTGTTATAGAGGCTACGAGGGATCAAAATGGCACAAATATTTTTTGAGAAACATTTCTGCTAGTAATAATAACAATAATAAAAACAATATTTAATAATAATAATAATAATAATAATAATAATAATAATAATAAAAATAAAACATTAATAATAATAATGATGATGATAATGATAATAATATAATTAATCTACCATATGGAAAATGGCAGCTAAATTTCAAGAGGGTGACGCAGTGGCGCAGTAGGTAGTGCTGGCGCCTCACAGCAAAAAGGTCACTGGTTCGAGCCTCAGGCTGGGTCAATTGGCGTTTCTGTGTGGAGTTTGCATGTTCTCCCTGCACTTGCGTGAGTTTCCTCCAGGTGCTCCGGTTTCCCCCACAGTCGAAAGACATGTGGTTCAGTTGAATTGGATAAAACTGTCTGTAGCGTATGAGTGTATGTGGGTGTTTCCCAGAGATGGGTTGCAGCTGAAAGGGCATCCGCTCTGTAAAAAAGTGCTGGATAAGTTTGCGGTTCATTCCGCTGTGACGACCACAGATTAATAAAGGGACTAAGACGACAAGAAAATAAATAAATGAATTTCAAGAGGATAAATACAATACTTATAATAAAAGAAAACCATTTAAACACAGGCTTGCAATGAATATTTCAATAAATGAAACCAATTTTTTTTCAATGTGTTCTTTTGTCAAGAAGAGGAATATGAATCTCACACATCTATTCTATTTTTTTGTTCTTTGATCTTACACCAAACGGCTTCAAATTTGTACATCTATTTTTTATGTTCTTCAGTTTGTGTGATATTTCTGTTATTTTTTTCTTTAGATAATGTTTTGATCCTGCTTTGTATCATAGGCATACACTTCATATCTAACATTATTCAAATTTCTATTTATATCTGCAAATATATTTACTTTGGATTTACTTATATCATTTTTGTCATCACTTAAAAATCTCCAATAAAATCATTATAACTCATAACATTTTTTAAATAAATCGATCTTTTTAAATTAAAAAAATATAGCCTATTATTAATTTGAAAATACAGGATATACGAGGTAAAAACTTTGCATTACCGCGCATGGCCGGTGGGGGAGCCCTTAGTCAAAGTCACACTCCTGTTGTTGACAACAGGAAACGGCGGTTAGTTCAATTTTGCGCCATCAATAACCGTCATGTCAGCTGTCATTTATTCCTGTTCGTCATCATCATTTTTTGTCTGCATTTCAGAACAAGATTTATTAGGTAATCGCTAAATGGTTAAACAAATATCCACACAAAATAAACATAAGCCTAACCGTTTGTTTAAGGACCGAAAAAACATATATTTTTAATAACTTGTCGTTTCAAAAATTCAATGTTTCGCAGAAGCGGTCTGTGCAGATTCGCAGGCTGTGAGTCAGAGCGGTTTATAATGCATGAACTGATTGCGTGTTACTAGGCGAGGTTGTTCTTCCTCACTTTTTCCTCTCTCTCTCTCTCTCTCTCTCTCTCTCTCTCTCTCTCTCTCTCTCTCTCTCTCTCTCTCTCTCACTCATTACTCACTGTACCGCACTGTTGTAGTTTTGCAGCCACGTCGCAGAGAGAGGCAGCATCGCTTTTACAAACCCCCTTCTCTTCTCTGTAAACGCCTAACTGGTCCGACAACACGTTTATCTCCTCGCGCTGCGTTCGTCAGACGTTTGTTTACACCTTTATATTTTTAAAAGAGTCACTCGTAACAGATACATTTGCAGTAGTTTACGGCTGTGGTTATGGTGAGTAGCTTGTGTGCTAACCGGGGTTTCAAACTTGCTTGCTTAACGTTAGTGTTTTAAACGGTTACTGCTTATTTCTTTAGCATTTAAGCAGTAAACTCTTTCCTAGTCTTTTAGCGGTAATTACAGTATTTACGTTTTACTTGCTAACAAGCTTTAGACATTAAGGAGCATTTATCTATGTATCTATCTATCTATCTATCTATGTATCTATCTATCTATCTATCTATGGACAATTAAACAAACTTTTATGCATTTACAATACAATACAAACACGTTTATATACGAACTACATTATCATGTGTATTATTAGCCTGTTTATCTGTCTATCTTTGTCTATCTTGTAGTGTAAAACAGTTTTATAATTAATAATATACATGTGTTCCAACGGATAAAGACTACATATACAAACAAATTTAATTCCATATTCATTACACGTTTGTACACCATTATATTCTTAGTAAAGTCAAATAAAGAGATTATTGTGCATGATTATACAGTATCTGTCTGTCTGTCTGTTTACATTTACAACATTGTAAATACTCTATGCATTTTAAATGTAATAATAACAAGCAGTGCATAATATATGCAAATGACTAATTCATTACATGTGTGTTACATTATGTGAATTGTGCAGTGTATTATACAATGATATTGTGTTTTTTATGCATTCAATTAATATTATAGGAGCCAGAGGAGATACAAGGACGTAGATCAGCTGAACATATGACAGATGAGGAAGAGAATGAGAAAGCAACATCGGAGAGGAAGGATGATGCAGAGGAATCCCGCAAAGCAGGGAGACCGCCAATGTCTCGCATCCCTACCTTTCAAAGCTCAGTGGGCCGCAAGCGAGTCACCATCCAGAATGCAGAGTCATCGCCGAAGATAGATGGGTCCAGCCAGCCGAGCCAAAAAGAGAGAGCTGGCTTTACAGAGGCTGGAAGAGTGAAAATGTCAGTATCCGCAGGGAGAGAAACAGCACTGCCCATTCCATCAGCTCGTTTAAATACAAACCCTGCTGATGATCTCTCTCAAACTGATATCTTGGAGCACACCCCCACTGTTTTAGCTCATGAAAAAGATCAATGCCTTGATCAAAAGTCTGAGATTACAAAGGACTCTGATCAGGATGATGTTTCACTTCAACGACCCCCACTCAGGAGTACATGTGAGACGTCTGGTCATGTTGTAGAGCCCGTTTCTGAGTTTGAAACCCAAAATGGGGAGGCTGTCTCAGAAGATGAGCACATATCAGCCCATGGGGCTGTTGTAGAGGATTTGAGTTCCTGTTCTTCTGCTGAAAATGAAGCCTCTGGTCAAGATTGTGAAGAAACTTTGAGAGAAGACATAAAAAAAGAAACCTCATCTCAACCATGTCGGACAGAAGAAAATCTTGTTGTAGAGAATAATGGGAAGCAATGCTTTATTCCAAAGAAGGAGGATGCATCCATAATTAGTGGTCAAGATGAGACTGCCAAGATAGAGAGGCCTACAGACAGTAAAAAATGTTTTAAAGAAACTGAACAGCAAATTAAACCAGCCAAATCTACTCACATAAAACACACCAAAGACAAGACATTTACACCCTCAAAGGTGCGTTGAAACATATTTCATAACATGCAATAAACAAAGTTAATGGTCCTAGCAGCATGCTAATGTGTTCATACAAAGACAACAAATTTATAATCTTAAATATTAAACTCCTTGAAAAATCTGCTAGAAATATACTATATTTATTATTTTTTTGATTCTGCAGTACGAATATCTAAACATACTACAATATTTATACATTTAATTTGTTACTTTAAACTTACTTAAATATGTAAGACTTGAAGACCTGTTTTCTGAAAGATACATCAAAATAAAGCAAGGTTTTGCTTTGAATAAGCTAAAATATCTGCCATTAGGGTTAAAATAATCTTGTTTAGCTTTTGGTTTAATTATTTTTTTTCTGAGAATTTTTTTTTCAAGATATTTATTCTTGTTTAGGACAAAGTGATAAGAATTTTCTTCTTTTCAGAAAACCGGACTTAATATCTTAATATAACACTGTATGTCTTTAGATATTTTTACTGGAAAACAAAACTAAAATACTGAGAAAAAAAGAAATACACTGCAAGTGCAAGACAAGCCTACAGAACAAATTGTCTTTCTCTGAACTCATTCGACCTTTTGCTTTGCATAAGTATGCAAACATGAAGTAATTGAGACTAGTCGCCCTAAAGTGTTTGTTTTGTCCTCGAAGACTGATCAGAATTTCAACAGAAAATATATGTATAAAATTAAATTATCACAAAACTGCAATTTTGTCGCTAAAATAAATCTAAATGTATGTTATTGGAAAAGTGTCTGTTTATATATTTGCTCAACTTTATTTTTTGAAATTGATTTTTGAATTGTTTTAATAGACAAAAGGAAGGAGCTGTGCATGTTTCTGGCTCTTGCCATCTGTTCTCCTTCTTTTGGGTGGATTTGCGTTGCATATCTGGCAGTATGGAGTGCCTAAATCTGTGTCACAACTGATGTCGCAACTGGAGCTCCACTGGTTGGAAAGTTTCTGGATGGCTCAAGAGACATGCAGATCTGACTGCAGGTGACAAAATATGACTTCTTAATATTTCTAAACATTAAAATTTACAAATCTGAGACATTATTGTTTAAATGTGTTTTTAAACGTTCCTTATCAGGCTTACGCTTGTTGAGAGCGTCCCTGAGGGCCTCAACTTCCCCTCCGGCTCGCCACACCTGCCAAGCATTTCAGAAAGTTGGATTAATTTACTAAACAAAGCAAACAGCTCTGTCCACATTGCTGCTTTCTATTTCACACTTCGAGATTCAGACCTGGGGCTTACAGAGCCCTCGTCTGTGCTGGTATGTGGTTTTGTGGATATTTAACTATGCATAATTATGAATTTACACACTCATAAGTTTCGTGAACATTTACTACCTGCATAATATGATCTAATCGGATATGGCTAATAACGTTTCTGTTTATGTTGAACGGATAATAATTTGTATCATTTCAACAGGGAAAAAAAGTGTTTAACCAACTGAAGCAGCTTGAACCAAAAGGAGTGAAGTTGAAGATTGCTGTAAACGCCCCTCAGCCATACATTGCAGACACCGATGAACTGGTAGCAACAGGTACAACTGCTTGCTTATTGCATGTTTGCATTCAGAATGTGAAGGCATACTTAAAGGTTATATAGAATACATTGATACAGTATATTAAATTGTTCTTTAATACAATTGAACATATTGTTCTTTAATGGGGTGGCTTAGTGGTTAGCACTGTCACCTCACAGCAAGCAGGTCGCTGGTTCGAGTCCCGGCTGGGGCAGTAGGCATTTCTGTGTGGAGTTCGCATGTTCTCTCGTGTTCATGTAGGTTTCCTCCAGGTGTTCTGATTCCCCCCACTGTCCAAAGTCCACTGCTATAGTCTATATGAGTGTGTGTAAATGTGTGTTAGACAGGTTTGTATCTTGTTTTCCAGTACTGGATTGCAGCTGGAAGGGCATTCGCTGCATAAAACATGTGCCAGAATAGTTGGCGGTTCATTCCGCTGTAGCGACCCCTGATAAATAAGAGACTAAGCCAAAGGAAAATGAATAAATGTTCTTTGGTGTCCATTTCCAACTCTAGGAATTGTCCCTAATATGATATGGCTGGTTTTGACCAACCACTTTGGAAGTGTTTTAATATTAATGAGCTCTGCTATGACACTCTGCAGCTTGTATCAGTTACAGATGATCACACACAAACATACTCTGTAAAATATTCTCTGAAATACACACACGCAAAATAATCATACTTAAGTTGTCAATACATATTTTAACAGAATAAGTAGATTCCTTGTTCAATGACAAACTGAAGTCATGACGTGGTTTATTTTAGCTTGAATGAGTGAGTGAGCTATCTTTAAGCTACCTTAACCTGTAACTAGCCATCTAGTTTGCTTCTGAGCTGTGTTGTGGATGAAATATAGGCAAAATTATAATTATACTTGACAAAAGGGGTAGACAGAGATGTATTTAGGGTTGTTTTTTGTGGGTTTTAATTAATATCGACCTCTGCATAAACAGATGAGTTATACAAGTGTATTGCTATTTTTAAACTCCAGACAAAAACAGTAAGATCTGAGTGACCTGATGTATAAACGTTCATTAAACACTTATATTCAGCATTCTACAATGTTTGTTGCCACTGTAGAAATGTGCAGCATTTCACAATATACACATCAAACTAAGAAAATATACATTTAAACAGACCTTATGCAGACCTTCGCAGGACTTTTAGGAACTTGTGTTCAAAATAAAAATTCAACATGCATCTTAGTAAGTATAATGCAAGCTTAGATAAACTTAAAAATAAGGGATTTTTTTTTATTATTGACAATAATTGTAATATCACCAGAAAACTTTGTGGCCAATCAAACTCCTATTGCTCCTTAAGCTATGGTCCTACTGACTTTACTTGGCTTGTATAATTCAGTCTGTTGATTTACATGAGAATGTGGAAACAATGGTGTTTGAGGAGCACGATATGTCATTTCATGTACTGGTAAAACTCATATTATTCAGTTATGCCTAGATATATCCAGATTTTCATTCTATGGCACCTTTAACGATTCTAAATTGAGTTTCGCAGGCCTTCTACAATAGATTTACTTCCATCCTAGGTCAACACACTTCACATATTTAACATTGCTGTGCAATCTTCTTTCTCGCAGTGTATGAAACTCATCCAGTCTATCAAAACCCTTTTTTAAGGGCCTAGTCTTTTGTATTTGGTCTGCTTGCATTTCGTGCTGCAAACAAAAGCACATGACCATATCTGAATTTCAGCTTCAAAGGCTTCCTCAGTGCTTGTGTACACAGTAACACTGGTGTTGGATTATCAGATCAGTTCAAGCCCTCATCCTTTGGACGTGCATGCAAAGTGGATTTGCTTTGGCAGTGCACAAAACAGCGCCGTCTTAGCGCGTTTTTAGCTATTTAGGCTTCAGCTCAGCTCAGTCAGAGTAAAAAGTGTTCAAAGAAAGCCCATAAAGACTATAGGCTAGCTTTATGCAAATCTGTCACAAACTTACTGAGGTTTGTACATGAATTAAGACTGTAAGTATTGACAGTTTGTTTTAGGCTGTTTAGGATCTTTCTCTTCAGAATACAATGACGTATACTTTGTTGTACACTTTGATCTTTGTAACTTTGTAAACCTTTTACATTTACAATCCACTGTATTGTAGCTTTCATGTGGGTAAATAAAGGTAAAAGCATAATAGGTGCTCTTTTAAAATGGTAAATGCTTCAGTGGCTCGGAATGAATGATATGCAGCCATTTTCTTTCAGCTTACTTGCTCTGTGCTTTCTCTCAGGGGCTGAGGTCAGGGGAGTTGACCTACAGAGCATCACTGGAGGCATTTTGCACACTAAACTATGGGTTGTGGATAAGAAACATGTATATTTAGGAAGTGCAAACATGGATTGGCGTTCTCTTACCCAGGTACATCTGATTCTGTAAACTGTGTCCATCATTGCTCTATGACCATGTAAATAAGAAAATGTTTGTATTCATTATTATATAGTGCAATTAATTAGGCTATTATATTAAAAATTAAAACCCATTAAAAATGAATCAATTTTTAATGTATGTGCTAAATTATAATCAATATTTCTAATAGGTCAAAGAGGTTGGAGTGGCTTTAGAAGACTGCGGCTGTCTAGCGCAGGACGCTTCACGAATTTTTGACGTTTACTGGGACATCGGCGCTCAGAAGAATGGATCTCTACCTCCTTTCTGGCCGGGCCGTTTCTCCGCTCTCTCCAGTTCTAAGTACCCATTAGCTGTTAAATTCAACGGTGTCCCTGCACGTGTCTATTTGTCTGTGAGTTGTGTTTCTCTCACAAGTTGACTCCATTTGTTTGGTGTGGTTGTTTTGTTATCCCTATTCACAATATG